ACAGTGCCTAATTGCTTAGATTATCCTCTCTGAGGTAACGAAATCCTCCCATACAATATCTCTCCTTTACAGAACAGGAGCTATTTTTGTGCTGCAGTTGCTAACGCTTTTGAAAACTAACAGTTCACCGGAGGCTGGGGTCTACTTACTTCTGATCCAAAGCACATCCCAGGTACTGCGTGAGGAAGAGATACTGGCTACATCTCAGTTCCCAACTTCAACAAACTGCTGCACCACTCAGTCTAGCTGCCCTTTTTCTAACACTGTGCACAAAGCTCCCATGTCTTACTTAGTCCTTTTCCCAGGGACCATCTGATCAACCCATAGACATCTACCAGCTACTGCATAATCTGCCTTTTAATTTAATATTTTTCAATCAAAATTAAGACACTGACAAGGAAGAAATTCACTCACATATCTTTGTTTCAGAGAACTTCTTCTGTTGTTGTACTAACCTGGCTTCTATTACCCTAATTCCAGGTCATTTTGGAGAAAGAAATTGTTCCTTCATAATTTTGCATTGGAAAACTGCTGATTAAGAGTTGAAAAAAAAAAAAAGGTCTCACTTTTGCAGGTTAAAATATTCAGATTAAAGGATTAATGTGAAAAAATGAGGTCTAAACTTTCAATAATAAGGAAATACTGCTACAAAGTGGCAATTTCTGTTGTCTAAGGTGGTCTCATACATTTTTCCTAAGAAATTATATGTGGCTGTTCTTGTCATGATAGGAACTTATAATACGGCATTTAACTGGAACTTTATGGAATTTTACTTGTGTATTCTGGACTTTTTAAAACTATGCTAAAACCTGATAAAAATATTGTCCTATCCTTCCTATATCTTCATGATTTTAAGTATTTCTCGGTTTATTTTTTTGGGGTTGGTTTGGGTTTTTAAAAGCTTTGAATCCCTTATAGTATTCACAATAAATTCAGCTTGATTTTAATGCTTCTGCAGTGACTACTGCAAAGCTTCTTAACTTTTACACTATAATGCAGTCAATGTATTTATAGTTCTTGAAAATGTCACATGGCAATGTTATACCAGGGACAGCACATCTCAGAGACTCCTTAATATGTCTGCATTGTTGTATTCTATTTGTAGAGGCATTTTTGTCAGTGGCAATGAAGAAACAGAGCTGCTGCTGCAGCTCTTTCAATAACGTTCAAGCTTATAGTTGACCCGAGGGGCTTACATTATGACATCCATATTTAATTTAACAATAAATCATATTTTCATGGACTACAGTATTGCATTATAATCCCACTGTTTTATGTGGATGGTAATGCAGCAAAAGCAGGCTTGTACATATCTACAACACAGACTAAATGGTTAGTTCATGAGAGCAAGCTCAAAGTGTACAGTGATGAAAATATATAAAAGGTTTTGTAACAATTCTAAGAAGTCCAAGGGAAAAAGAACACAAAAAGCTATCCAGAAGGAAATGCATTTAACTTGAAGTTCAATTTTTTAAAATCTTCCTTAACTGCACCACCTTGCTTACTGTCAGTTTTAGTTCTGCTCTGCACTTCCCATTGCAGTCAGCATTCTCTGTATCTCATTTTCTCTTCTGCTTCATTCAAGCATATTTAAGGAGAAAATTAACACCATCTGAATCTTAAGCTTTACCCATCCTTTTCTGCTCACAATCATTTCTCCTATTTGCCCTGCATCCTTTACTGCTGACCTTCTAGCTGACTCCAAATTAAATGTTCATATGTTTCCTATTTACTTCCAAATCTAGTCCTGCTTGTTCACATTTATTCTTGCTCATCTTCCTTTTATTTGCCTCTGCTCATATCACATCACATCATCCTCAACTTCTTTACTTTCTATTTCTACTAACTTCCAGTGCCTACTTCTTGCAGCCCTCTGCAACCTAAAACTTATTTAATTAATTCTTCCCTCCCCTTCAGCATTATTAATAATCTTCTACCAGTCAGACTATGAAATACCTTCATTTCTTTTCTCCATCAGCTGCCTCTGGCAATAGTTTACCCATATTTGCACTGCTCTCCTCCACAGACTTTTTGAAACTAAATTATCTCTTTTAGAAGATTCCACTTTTCAAAACTAAATACTTTCAACTACTTTTTTTTGGCAGCATTGATCTTTGGTCTAGATGTCATGCTTAACATAAATTACATAAAATTAAGGAAGAGCAACTGTCGTAAAAACCATTTGCCTATTCTGACCTATGTTCTCTCTTTATCTCTCATCCAGCTTTTTGTTCATCATGTCTTCATGCATTGTATCTAAATTAGATTTTCAGTTCCTTGGGGTAAGAAGACATCACTTTCATTTATCTGTAAAGCACCATGCATGCTTATGGCTCTGTAGAGGTGCTAAATATGTATATCCACATTTTTGAAAATATTGATGCTTTTATCTATTCATATATTGCAAAAGCAACATGGCAGCAGTTGTACCCATCTATAACAGCAATGATGTGATTTATAGTAGCTGCATGCTATTTGCTTTCTGTTTTCTAGTTTGTATTTATATTGCTCTTTCTGGTCTTGTTAACTAACTAAAAAACAAAAATCTCAATTTTCTGTGACAGCATAGGGGTAACATACAGCAGTTTTACTACTTACTCATATACGTGATCACAGTCTTAGGTGAAGGATGATGTACCAACTCAAGACTGCTCTTGTCCTCTGAGATCTTGTAATTTAAATAGTCCTGATGACAGTAAAAATGTTAGAAATTTTGGACATGTAGCTTGAGAGATGTTGAAGTGTCTGACTTTCAAGTTACTAGAGCATAGCTCTTTCTAAAATGCAAGATCTTGAAAAAGGAAGATCTCTATTATTTTGAAAATTTTGGCTGTCAAAATTAACATAGTTAGTGTAAACATGTATCCTAAAAGCTAGGAAGGTTTTTAATGAAAAAAAGAAGATAAAATGGGGATGCTATCAATCCAGTACAACATACCAAAATATTTTTATTAACAAGTGCAGTAAAAACTGTACATATACTCTCCTTTGTAGTGAAGCATATTTATTTCTTTGTTAGTCCAAAAAAATACGTAGACATATCCAAATCCCTCAGCAGAATCCCTGAAGTCCCCTACCATGACTCAGAGCCCGCTGCATGAATGAGCCAGTACTAATAATTTCAAAAGTTAGGTCAAAAGATAAGAAACTGTTGTAGAGTAGACACTGAATGCAAAGCAATTAAACTGTTCTGCTTCATGTAACACTTAATAAATGGTTAAGCATTTAAGCATTGAATAAAGTGAACATCTTTGAGTACCCTGCTTTGCATCAATCTGAGCTGAAAACTTGAAATGGGTTGCTCATTCCTGGGTCAGTACACACAGAGTGGCCTTGACAAACTGTTTACTCAGAGTAGCAGGAAAGAAGTTACATGGGGATAATGTTACTGAAATGCCTTCATAGAGTGCCTTACAGCTGATGGATTTAATTATCTTTGCATAGAGGGACCTGTTTCAGCCAGCATTCCACCATGTTTTTTCAGTGAATAAAATGATAAAGATCAATCCAACTTAATTTCGAACTGCATATGTAACTAAACTCGGGTAAGGTTGCACTAGTAACAGTCAGACCACATACGTGTTTAAAAGCTTTGCTGGACTGAATGGTAAAGCTTAATTTTACTCAACTCTTGATGTTTCCCAATAAGCATCTACCTCCAAGTTAGTTCCCTTCATTCCTTACTAGGCATGAAGAGAACAGCATCAACAAATGCATCAAAGTGTGATTCATCAGACCTACCCTAAATGTTTACCTCAGGATAAGCCACTGCACATTGTAAAACATTGTAAAACAACTAGATTTGGTAAATGAATTCCGCTGCATCAAACACTGAGAATCCAGTGTTTTTTCATTTCTTTGCGTCTTCAGAGAAAGTCCAGATATCTTGTCTACAAAATTATAAGTAAAACTCCTTGAAAAAACTGCTGTCACATGCCAACTATTAATTTCCGGACATAGGGTCAGATATGGCACAGCCTCAGAAGTGCTCTCCTAAGACAGCTGGTAACTGGTCTGTCTGCTTCAGATACAAATGGGCCCCACCAGTTGATTTCAGTGCCAGAAAATTGTCCTTTGCATCTTGTACTTAGTTGTAGAAAAAAATGTAATTGGCATGGATGACAAGTGTAAATTGCAACTTTAAACAAAAAGGAAGAAGATAGAAAGGTAGCTTTTAAGTGAACATTCTAACAAAGTAAGGATAAAATAAAGAATATAAACAGCAAAAGTAAAAAAAAGGTATGAAGATGGAAAAATGGCTACAAAAAACTATTGAACTATGATATGACATTCATGATTGTGATCACTTTGGACAAATACAACAGGGATGCTGTTATCTAAATGAACTGGCATCTTCAAGTACATTTCACTGGATACATAGTGAGAAGACCTACTTTCTGTAAATTACCTTAGAGAATACTACCAACAAAAGGAAGGTAAGGAAGGAATTTTTAGAAGATTGGAAATTGGACCAATATAAAAACTATAGATAAAGCTTAAAAACAGAGCTTTATCAGTGCCGAAGACTTTTGACCACTTTGACATGAAGGCAGAAGCTGAGTTATAGTGACTTAATGGCCCTGTAGAGAAATAATTTGTTACACAGACCTCATTGTGTGTGAGAGGTTGTATTGTGCAAGAATAATGAGATGGAATTGGTCAGGTTTTTAGATCCCCTCAACTTTACATTCTTCACAGTGAGAAGTATGAATGATAACCACGTCTGAATGTGGTTGCTTTGCTCAATGAAGAACTTGACCTTACAAAACTGAGTTTAGAAATTATGTATATATGGAGCATCTTTTCATTTGTTTCTACACCAAGACGTGGGGCATAGCATTAAAACTATTTTTTTTCCTTTCAGCTAAACATTTTTTCCAATCACATCACTTTACTCTGATTTACAGAAGTTTTAGCTTCAAGAATCATTGGTCATTGCTGAATGAAAATAAGCACAAAGTAAAATTATATTAAGTTTGCACAATTGATCTTTCATAATTTTAAATATCTCCTTTTAAAATTTCCTGTAAAATCAGCCTGAAATACTCCCATCATTGACTGCCATCAAGTAGAGCAGGGTCACTTTGGGAAAATCCATTCTCAGTGATGTAAATTATAGGGTTATTATATGTATCCTAGAACAAGAGAGCAGAAGTTTTATTCAGAACAGATGTAAGAAAGCCCATAAAATCAGATGCATTACCCTCTATCTTTTCTAAGCTACAAACTAAAACTAGTTTTCACCAAATTGCACTGACCCTATTAACTTAATTTTCCATGAACTGACCTTTTATGACTAACAATGGAAAAGCAAAACTGTGCAAATATCCATGAAGACAGTGAAATGACTTATTTTAATGAGAAGACTAAAATATCTTTCCTGCATTAGCATCTGCTTATTGTCACTGCTCCTTAACCCCTTGGTACTGGCAGTCACCACATGTCCCATTGCCAGGAGTAGATGCATGCCAGGAAAGCCTTACTGCTGGCATCAGAAAGATCATTTCTGGAGTTCAAAAGATAACATAACACTGGTGTGTCATTTCGAACTGTAAAATTGCTGTCAGGTACAAAGGCAATAGGAAAACACTAAGGTTCCCACTCTTTATAGCCAACGAGCAAAAATTAAATTATGAATCCCAAGGTGACTTGTTTATTTATATCTTGTACAATGCCTTATGCCATTCAGATGGGCTCCTCAGAAATCTTCAACAGAATTCAGAGAGGTTCTATCAATCTGAGTTCAGAGCTATAGGCACAAATCCACAGTCTTTTCTCCAAATACCTTACCACAACTGCATCAACATGTGATTTTTATGCTTTATAATCTGCCTTGTAAGATCTGGTACCAATACTGGGGCTATACCTTTTTCACAACCACCTATAGCAACAACATAAGGCCCATTAGTAATGATCACTCAGTCTACAAATGTTCTGAAGCAATAATTTACATGAATATGAATGGCCTTAACAATCTTTTCAGATCTCTGGTGTCCTCTGTTTTCTAAGGATTGAGGTAAGCCAAAGTGATACAGGGAGCAGGATGCCATTTCCCAGGTTATTAATGGTTTTGCATTAATAATTGACTCCTGAAAATATTAAAGGGAACAAAAAAGCTTTAATAATAACTTTATTACATTTTATCATTTAAAGAAACCTCACTGCACATTTTCTCTTTTATAAAATGCAAATATTCCCTCTCAACTGCATGCTGACTACAGTTACAAGACCCTTGAGTTGGTAAAAATGCTCAGCACACAAAATCTTCCAACCAGGCACATAAAATGAAATGAGGATGCAAATTTTCAAAATAGATCAGTGGACAGCAATTCCCCAAGAGAAAAATAATTCTGATGGGTGCTGGTCACATGAAAATATAATCCTTTCATTTAAATGCCTGAATGGCAGCCTGACTGCATGTGCAAGATACAAGCGTGTTAGAAAAAGCCTGATGCTTGAGAGTGTTACAGGTAGATTTGTTCTAATGAAAGCATTTCTCTCCTTGAGAACTGTGTCTTTTAAAGAGTTTAATGCCACACTCAGCAAGGTAACTAAACTGATCTTTTATAATTTGAACTTGGTTAGCTGGATTAGCTGTTTTCTCTAGAATATTCTATTCTTCAGCATTGTGCCAGTATCAAGACAAAGATACTGTCATGTATTCAACATTTTGCAATAGTGTGAATTCAACAGTTCCCTCATTAGATCTATATGGGATTTAAAGCTTTTCATTGTGTTCTAGTAGATTTTAGATGGAGTTTAAGGCACTGGTTTCTTTAGCCATCAACTTGAATGGCTTGGCAATAGTTTATCGAAGAAATCATCTCTCATCCTTTTACACTGCCACTGCTGCAGACTGCTCGGTCCCTCTAACTGCAAGAAGGAATTAGCTCACCTCTCTAAAAGCTCATGACTTCCAACCTTTCTTGCCCCCTCTTGCTAAGACAGAGATCAACTTTAATTTCCTGGATGTGTTGTTAAAGTTGGCCAGCACTAGGGATGTATTTCTAGAGGCTTAAAAGGAATTCACCTTCTGTTCAGATTTAGCAGTGGCTGACATGAATATGTTTCCTAAAGGACTATTTTTATGCTGCTGAGAGGTCATTGTAAGTTTAAATATCAGGATACTTTAAGCTCTCAAATAGGTGTTTTTAATTTTGCTTACATCCAAACACAACTGTATTGCTTTTAAGCTTTCTGAAAACACTAGATATTGAAATATATCATAAGCTCTGGTTCAAAGAATATCAATTAACTTGCTCTTTAACTTGAACTGTCTGGTTTAGTGCGGTAATTGGAAAAGTCCAACAGTGGCCTTGAATTATTATTTGTTAAGCTTAGAGGCTCCAGCCAGGAATAGGTCTCTACCATGCTGGTGGAATATAGAAATCAGTCAGCCTTTGCTTCAGAGACTTGGGCTAAGTATATCAAAGTGTTTAATAACCTCAGAAACCTAAAATTCATAATATTTTTGTGAGTCTTAGACTACCATATATCCTAATAAGTCATAGGTGCTTATGAAATATGTATCCCAAGGTCTTGCTGTATTGAAACACAGAACTGAGAAAGGTCTACAGAAGTTGAAAGCACAGCAGAGAGGAGGAGGAGGAAGACTAAGTTGGAAGTTAATAAAATATATGCTTAGGAGGTTATGTATGGCTTAGATCATTATTCTTAACAGTTTTTGAACCAGAGATTTTGTTTAATCCAAAGCAGGAAACTTGTTCTATACTTTTACCATATATTTCCTGCTATTTTCAAGTTCAGTTTACTGTGTATTGATGTTTAAAAATGCCAACGCAGAACACCATACTACTTTCTTCCTAAAAGGATATATTAGACTTCAACTTAACCCAACTTCAAATGATTGATCTTAAGAATTTCTGCCAAATAGCTTCTGCCAAACAGCAATCAATTATGAACCCCAGATTTAGACAGTGCCTTGTCCTAAACAAACAAGTGCCTACACATCCCTTAGCACAGCAAGACTCAATAAGATTGTTTACAAAGTAATTCACAATAAATCTCACAGGTAGTTTGCTTTTCCTTCTGAATGCAGCACCAAAGAAACCACATTCTGAGGAAATACGTGCCTGTGTCTGAGCACGCACCCATGTAAAGAGAAAAGAATACACTAGAATTATAAATTTTGAAAAGAAAATTCTTACAATTTGCAAGAGTAATTAGCAGCAAATACATCTTCTTACTGTAACTTTTGAATGGAACCTGTTTGACTTCAGTGGGACTAGGTGTGTGTTAACTCTTTGCTGGTGGAACTACAAATTTGACTACATAAGCTTAAACTGTGAAAAAAGAAATCCTTTGCTGGTACTGGATCCTATTCTACCATATTGAGAGGAATGCTTACCTAGAGGACACCAGTATTTCTCATTCTGATTTTCAGATTATAAATTATACAGTACAATTTATAACATTTAAGTGCAACCAGCTATCATTTATTTTTTACATCTCAATTAAACACCAACATTGAAAAAGATTTATGCTTTTTATAGGAAATGAGGAGAAATAGAACTGCATCTCTGAAAAATGTGAATGTCAAGTCAATTTTCCAGGTTGTCTCATACCTTCCACAGTTGGCTGATCTAGTTTCTCTGTCTGTATCTGCAGGTCAGGTAGAAGCAGAAACACAGAAGAAAACATTTTTCAGAGGAAGTGTATTTATAAGGGTTTTGAGGAGATATTGCAAAATTTTGGGATTAGAGATATTAAGGACCACTTTGTCACTGGAAACTGAAGGATGTTCTTTTCTCTTTTCTGTCATTATCTCTCCCCATCCTGATTCCCCACCTTCATGCTGAAGTGAGGTAAAACATCAAATTCTCACAGACTCAGTACTCCCATGTCTACGACTTCTGTTTTCTTCTGCACCAACCCCTAATGTTTAGCAGCTGTTTAGCTGGGATGTTTAGCAGCTCACTTGTTCTGCACAGAGCACCTTCTAGGGTAAAAATAACTGTACAGAAATACTTTTAAAACTTGGTGTAAGCTTGAACCTAAAACCTGACATGCCTTAGGAACAATACATCTACAAGATCACTGCTTTAAAAGACCCTTACTCCACTAACTTAGAAACAGTGGTTTTAAAGGTTTTCAAATGTCCTACATCTTAGGTGTGAAATTGGTAGTGATTCATTTGGTGCGAATGATTTTATTTGAAAGGACATAGCTTTAAGCTTTCTAATTTTTCACATGCTCTTTGTAAAAATGTTTATATAGAAGATGATGGCCTTTCCATGCTATGCAGTTACAATTGCTTCAACAGATCACTGCACAAGAGAAGTGAACTCCTGCTTAATGAAATCTGGCCTACTTGGAGTTCCGCCAATGCCCTTTCGTTAAATGTAAAGTTCATAATATTAATCAGGCAACTGCTTATACTGGGGATCAAGTGAACATTTTCTGAAATTAAAGCTGAGTTTTGTCAAAATGTTAGCTTTCCTTACCAAGTGCATTCAGAATGTCTGCTTGCTATCTCCCACTCTGACAACTAAGTAACAAAGCCCATTCAGTCGGGAGCTCGGTGGGGTTTTACAGTGCCTGCAGCCCCAGCTGAAGGAATATCAGTACAGCAAAGAAACCACAACGACTCAGCCAAATTTAAATTCAACACACCACAAAAAGCGTTCCTAGGGAAAGGCAAGCTGTGCCAGTGAAAGCAGGCCATATATTGTAAATTTTGGTGGCAAAGAAAAGGCTTCCATTCAAGCCTCTCTGGGATACTGGCACGGTTTTTGCAATCAGGCTCTGGAGGGAAAAATGGCTGGTTGGTCTGTTTACAGCAGATTTACCAGCCCCCCTTTCTGAAATCTTGAAACAAAGGCTCCTCCACTCTCTGGTGAAAACCTTAATCTGCAGGATGCAGAGGATAGGCTGCTGTCTACTGAACAACCAAGCTCTACATGACCAAAATTCAGGAGGAAAATATTGCTTCTGCTAGTATCCACCTAGTACAGATAAGGATAACCTGAAGAGCATTTGCTAAGAAGTCCTATCCCTTGTAGCCTTTCATCCTTCCATCTTCAAAACAGGAAATGAAAAGAATTTCCAATGCAACTACTACCCTAGAAGTGTAACGATATATATCTTCTTGGTAGAACTGAGATGCAGAAGAGTAGGAGGCAGGAGTGAGATTCAGAGGTTCGTTCAAATATACCTTGATTTTTTTCTCCTTGGAACATTATCCTCCCAGCATACAAGAGACCTCAGCCAACTACTTTGATTCTCACATACTAGCTGGTTCAGCTTCAGTTGCTTTTATTCTTCACAATTCTCTTTATTTCTTCTTTCTTCCATTCCCTGTGTTCTGTAGGAACAACTACCCTTTCCTGTCTTTTCCTAGTGAGTGACCTTAATATCTCCCCCAGTCACCACCAATGGAATTAAAATAAATGAATCAGAAGTGAAGCAAATTTTATATCTGACTTCTAGCAATCTGACCAGCTTATTTATGGGCTGTATCCCTTTACATATTTACACTGCCTACTGAGTGAAAACCCTTCAGAGCAGGGTCTGGCTTCTGTTTGTCAGAGAACTAAGTTCCTATCTGAGTCTGAAGAATCCTCTCTAATTTTCTGAAGAAAAATATCTGGGAAAAGTATGTCCCTCAGTGCAAAATAATCAATCTGAAGTTCAGTACATTAGAGTATACTGATAAGCTATCTAAAGCACTTGCCAAATAAGATAACTTGTCTATTGTAAGTCATCCAAAAATATTCTCATGGCTAGGATCCCTGTAAGTATAAACATTCTGATGAAGTAAAATGATCTAGAGTTACAATTAAAAAAACTGGAGTAAGCAAAAAGATACATAGGAAACATAATAATAATCCTATCCCAAAAGATTGTGCTATCCAAGGGGATCTACAATATTAATTAGTAAGTTGTTGCAAACCTATAAAAAAATCATCCCATAATTACTCTGAAAAAAAGTTGCAATTTCAAAGCTACACTGCAGAATAGCATACTGGATTAATTATGCCAGACTGCAGCAATAACCTTGAATTAAAGCTGCAACCTTCTATTTTTAAGAAACAATTGCCTTTCTGGTTGATGAAACCTGTCGTCCCATCAGGTAACAGACGTGACCAGGAAAGAGAAAAGCGATAATGAGTCAATCCAAGCTGTTTGATACATTTCAAATCTTCCTCCCACAGAGTGTAGCTGCCACAAGCTACATCACCAGTCTGGTTCTTGAAAACTCGATCTCCTCCCTGATGGGTGAATATGTCCCAGACATTAGGGCCCTTTCCATCTGCATTCCAGCCTTCTGCTTGAAGAACAAAACTTGGTCGTTACACTTTTGACATCAAAAGACATATGTTGCATGTAAATATTTATCACAAAGTAGGCACAAACCCCTTAAAATCCCATGGGCAAAATGAGCAGTATTCCCTCCCTGCTCCTTACTTTAAATTAACTAGGAACTTCCAAGCATTAATACATATTTGCATTAGGTTTTGCAATTATTCATATTTTTGCTTGCTACTAACAATTTGAAAATCCTGTTTTAGAAAAGCATTCAGAGTTGTAACACTCTTCATAGTTCCTTAGCCAAAAATCAGATGTTTGCCACTCTTGAGATATTATAGGTTTTCACAAAGGGCATTTTCTAATGCAACTTCCATCCATAAATGTAAAAGATCGGTCCATATCAAAGAAAGCCTTTAGGGTATGAGAAATACATCCAACAAATAGGCACTTATGGCTTTCAGGATGTCCTTTGAAAAGCTTGACAGTTTGTTAAAAAGAAAGGAATGCCATTATGAGCCATGGCCCTAGGCATATACAAGCTGAATTAATAACACGACTCTGCAAAACTTCTGCTTTTTGTTTAGCCAGACATTCACAGAAATGAATTTTGAATGCTCAAAACCACTGCACCATTTTCCCAAAACTTTCAGAGTTTTGGGAAATTTCTTCACAATTCCAAAATTGAGATAAACAGATTACCTTTAAAATATTCAAAATTTAGTTTTTGTCTGACATTCAACAACATACAGTATTTAATCCAAATAAATGCACCTTTTTTATTACAAGTTTCTTTGTCTTTCCAGAGCAATGCTGTAGATGAGAAAAATATTTCATTTTTTTATGTGGAGAGCTCTGTAAACTTACTGTACGCCGTAAACCCCTGCAAAGTGTGATTTAATCATAAAATTGCAATTAACCTTAAAATGGCCAACCTCATTTACCACCAAGAATTTTCAGAGTCCCAGTGAATGCACGGTTCCAGGATTACTCTTTAAAAACTAAAATGACACTGTGTATTAAAATTATGTATAAATTAAATATCAGTTGGGTTGTAAGATTAATACCTATATAATAGCTACATATCAATCCTCAATAAAAGTGTTTTAATAATCAATTAGTATCATAGAAATTAGAGATGGAGGAGAACTATTAGGAGGTCATTGAGTCCATCCCCTGCCAATGCAAGATTGCTCCCTTAAGTATATTCAGTACTTAATACACATCTGTCTTATTAAATCTAAGTTTAATGCAAGGTTAAGCATATTGAAGACACTTAATTTAAATCGTTACTAAAATCTGTAATATCATTTCTATAACCTAGCTTTTCAAAGATCATTGTCACATTTCATGATCTTTACAGAATTTTATTGCAGCACACGAACACTGATACATCTACATTTGGTTGGTCAGTAAATTAAATTTTACATGGGACAACCTTCAAAGTAGGTCACATTTTAGATCCAGACAGTTTGAGCTTCTCTTAATCTCAGAATTTATCACAGACTTTGTGCTCTCTCTGTATGCTCCTTGGAAAAATACAGTACTAAAAGTTTTCTATATCCTGCATCTGACTTCAAACATGACTACTGAAATAAACAAATTTGAGAGAAGTGCAGAAAATAAAAAATAACAGTAATTCTTTGGTGGTACCTAGACTTTAGAAGCCTCTAAGAGCAGGCTTTTTGCACCATATCAATATGACGCAGCTCCTTTTTTAGCTATGGTTGGAGTTAAGGAAAGCCAAAAGCTGCCATAACGGGCAGCTAACACAGCTTCATTTAAGAACCATTATCTAGAGCAGATGCTGAATGATTTCTTAGTACCTGCCTGCCTTCCTCCAGCAAAGGAGATGGGAGGGAGGGGGAAAGGCATTGTTTTTCAGCAGAGTATACAGTACTACTCCAGTGGTCATTAGCCACTACAAAGCCCTGACTGGGGCTGTAGCAAACAGACCCACTTTCAAGCATTCCTCATACTGTTGGAAGAGCCTCTTTGTACAGCCCTGAGTATCTGAGCTACCTAAATAAAGAGTAGGAAGGAATTCAGCCAAGGCAACAGAAAGCTCTACATACACTAACACATCCTGCTGAGCCACAATTCATCTACACAGAGCTCTCTCTGCTCCAATGAACCAAGCTCGCACCTCTAAGTATGCTCAGAAACCTCCATGCTACACAGCACTTCATAGTGTAGACATAACCGAAGTTTTAGTGTGCTTTGGGGCAAGGAAAGAACAGTGATAAGGAACTGATTTTACATTTAAAACACTTAGGTAAGACTTAGATACCAAATCAGCACATGACATCATCAAATTAATAATATAAATTATTATGATACATGTTCCCCATTCTCTGCAATTATTACAACAGAACAAAATAGAATGCTTTTCCATTTAAGTGCAGCTAGTAAAGCAGGAATATTACTGATCAGAGTGTGCAAGTTTTCACGCACTTTTCCAAGTACACTTTTCTTCTAATTCAGTTGTGTTTTCACCTCTTGGAGTGAAATTTTCTTGGTCTGGTATCTGACCAAAAAGTGAAATTTTGTTAATGCAGTTTGACTATTTGGCATATGAAAGAAGTGAGAAAAATCACTTTTAACATTATAAGAATTTTCTGCAACTTTTCCCTCTGTCTCTCAAAAAAAAAAAAAAATCAAGCAGAGAGTTGAAATTTAGCATAGAAATGGCCCTCAGTAAGAAGAAGTGCTTTTGAGTGTTCTGGTGCAAATTGATTTTGATTTGACTGAGTCATGAACCTTTGAAATCTGCACTTTGAGCATGCAGAGTACAATTGGTATGATTTTTTAGCGCTTTGAAATATACAGAGTGGAGAAGGTTGTGCTGTGCATAAATACATAGCTTACAGTAAAAAAAATAAAGTAGTCTGTCAGCCCTTGCCTCATCCACTGTGTATCTTGTGATATGTGCAGCAACTGAGTTTGGACTCTACAAGAACTATTGCTTCAATCATGCTGCCTCTAAGTCGGAAGCTGCACAGCCTCCAAAGCTTTCAGGAGAAGGAATTCCCTGTTGAGTTTCTTACTGCAAGAAAAGGGTCATTTGAGTAGTGTCTAGACCATATTATAGATTTATTTTTTTTAACATTTTTTCCCCACTCAGAAGTCTTAAGAAAGCTCATTAAAAATACATTAAGAGAACATTAAAGTTGCACATCTAGCCACTCAAAAGGCAGGAAATTATAATGTCATTCTATATGCACACACGATTCACATTTTAAAAATTAGTTAGTAGAGCTGTGTGAATTGCAGGACTCCAGTTAGAATCTGGCCCAGAATATTGATTCCCTGGGAACAGCGAGCTGTGCAGTCTATTAGGTGAAGTGAACTGAGCTCGTTAAAAGGTACCGAGCAGGGGCAAGTACTCTCAATTTCAGCAATAACCAAGAACTAAAGGCTACATCCTCAAAGACAATTTAGGATCTACAACTCCCATTTAGGTACGGAAATCAATGGGATTTAAGTGCCTGTATGCTGCAGGGCATAATATGAGAAAATCAGGTCTATATGTATTTTGAAGATTTCTAAAGACACATTTATGAAAGGATAAAGTTTGGAGGGGTTATGGCTGTGAGTGTCCCTGTGTTTACATGTTTATGTGTTTACATTCCCTAACCTGCAGCACCTTTTCATATTCTGCTGGACAAATCACTTTATCAACCCCCCTATTCAGTTGGGAACATGACACATGTCCCTGGGGGATGATTTCCACAGATCCAACTGTTAACCTCTCGGTTCATTGTTTTTCATAATCTTTGGAGATGAGTTTCTAACCAAAGATTTCTAATGAGTACCACTGTCTGATGAGGCAATTCTCCTGTCCAGTCTCAGAATAGCCAATAGTAATCTACTTAAATTAGCTCTACAGAAAGGAAATATGCAAGAAATAATTGAAAAATTACTTATATCTGCTTTTTTCCACCCCACTTTCACTAGCTAGCTTCCTCCTCCATTTCCATTACCTAGCCACATTTCTGAGATTTGAAACATCCTTTACACTCTTCTTACTGCTTAAGTGAGAAGTGTTTAAACAGAAGTGCTACATGATTCGCATCAGATATAGTGTCTACATAACGAGGCAAAGATCAAACACTCTCCTTCCTGGATCCAGACTTTTCGTTCACTTGAAACTTCCTTAACACTTCAACAGCTAAAAATTGACACCTTCAATTTGATATGCTGCTGTAGCTGCACCCCAAGCAAATCCAACTGGAAAAGCAATATCCTCTGGCACCAGTTGCAGAGGACAGGTGAATACACAGCATTATGTGTGCTGTGGAGATGCTGGCTTCATTTGCAGACAACGCTTTCTGGCTTGATCGCTCTTCCACTTTTTACAAGCAGATTCTAAAGTGAAGACAAAAATAAACCCTGTGCAGCTTCACACACTGAAGGGTAAGCCATGCACCTTGCATATCTCAGGATTAAAGCAGAGAGGTTCAGTCTGTTATTAGTGAAAGTGGAAAAGGCAGCAGTGGAAAAGCCCAGGGTGGTCACGGTAAAGGGGCTCCTCCTAGTACAAAGCATTAGTACACAAAACAGAACTCTGTTTCCCTTCACTTCCCTCTCACCTCCTACCTCCCACACAGAGGACTTTGTGGGCCCTCTACACAACATAATTCCTTTAGTCACCAGGCAAAAACTAATTTCCTCCTCTTCCAGTAAGCTTCAAAATCCAGCAACCCCTCTTCTTTTCTGGCATCAAAATTGTTTTTCTTTTCCTTCCCAACACCAAAAAAACTTGCCTGCAGTGGCTAAGAAAGGATGTTTTAGCCATTACATGTTTCACAGGGGAAACCAATGAGTAGAAGAGCAAGATTTGTATGGGAGTACAGACAGAACAGCCATCTTTCTCCTTCTTTAAAACTCCGTGGATGCTCATTTTTTTTAGCGCAGCAATGACAACCTTATGGCATGTGTGCCAGAATCAGCATCTGCAAAACAGCCCTCAGGTCTCTTCCTCTACCTTCTGTCAATGCTGTTACTGCTCTCCTGTCAGCGGGCTGAAAAGGGAGTAGCAGCAGGAGGAGAGTCAGGTAACAAGTGAGATGGGTTGAAAGTAGCTTACTGTCCCCTCCCAGAAAACTGCAACACCTGGCACACTAGATGGCACTACTGCAAATTTTTATTTATTTTTTTTTTTACTTACTGGAGCTTTCCCCCCATTTATTATATCACTACATTCGCACCGCTTTTGCCAAGGTCAGTATCTGCACGTATTGGACTGCAGGCTGTAATGTACGACCACTAGCATTTTTTATTTTTTACTCACTTCTTGATTTTGAAATCTTTCTGGGTGAGGACCTACTTCTGCAAAGTATTTTACATGTAACTGACACTTTCTTTGATAGTGAAAATAAGAAACCTTAACATATACAGAAAAGCCACTAATAAAGTCAATGCACATACTTTTGCCAGAAATGCACAATAAAAGAGTCAACTTCTTAAGGAAAAAAAAATCCTTTGTACAGATGCAGAGAAGCTGATTTAATTCCAAAATGCACATTGCAGAACCAGACAGTGCAGATGCAATGCAAAATAAATCAGGCTTTCACAGCAGGCAAGTATTTTCTCAAGTGTCTTTCAAAGGAAAGGTAAAAGCACCTTGAATACAAAGGAACAAAGGGGGAAATGAGGTACAACATACTAACTTATTCCCAAAACACATGCTGACACATGGTCTAGACAAACATACACATAGTCTAGACAAACATACATATCCTTCACGTGTATTATACAGATGACCAAAAATCAATGCAATGAACTAGTTAATGTTTTCTGGTTGAATCAGCCTCCTCAGGCTTTCATCTGCAAGGTAAGGACAGTTAACAGTAAAACTCATCAGAGCCACCTTAAATCATGATCAATAAGTTTTAATGAACCAGAGTAATAATGTTTATTTTTTACATCATTAAATGTTACTAGGCACCTTTGAAAATGTGACATTAAATCTTTTCCCACAGAATAATACAATTCAATTTCACAATAGATATAATAAACATGTAACTCAATAATAGGGGGGAGAGGGGCAGAAAGGAGAGAGTAGCAATAAAAATCCAATAAAAAGTTTTATAAAAATGCTTAACCATAAAAACAAGGCTAAAAAGTGTCACTGCTGATTCCCTATTAGGAATCAACAGAGACAGAGATGGGCTTTAGGAGAGATTGAGTAGGAGGAAAATATTCCATAAGCAGTCTGGGGAAAAGTGAACAAAATTTGCCTCAGAGGTTAAGGCAGATTCACAGTAATGAGATAGAAGGTTATGTCAGATAAGTAGGCAGATACTGAAAGATGCAGAGTTTCAAAATTCAGAGAAGCTGCACTTATAGCAACTAAGCTCAAACTTTTCTGGCAACCTAATTTCTACATTTGTGATCCCACTTCTGGTTGTATTTCTAAATTCATGAACTTGCTCCTTATTGCAGTAGAGGGACTTACAATTATATTTCCATCAGACCCACTGCATGTGATGGCCTCTAGGATGCACCCACCTTCTGACAATTTCCCCTACATCCAACAAATAACCTGGCCCCAACCTGGATTTCAGTATTTCACTTTCCCATTGTTTTGTTTATGACATGTAAGTATAAAACTATGACACCTGTAAGTTCTATCTAGAGTCAGTTTTTCCAGACTAGGTTTAAGGTCTTCACATTTGCACTGACACAGACTATATGTAACCAAATGAGCTCAAGCCAAGTACTCGTAATAAAAAAACAAGCAGTTCCTGGGTGTCCAAATGTATTTGAACAAAGATTTTTTTTTTGGCACTTCAATGAAGAGTAGGAGTAATTGGCCCTGATGCTAAGGGTTGGCAACCTAACTTTACAAAATGCTAGATATTTTATTAAGGTGAAAGATGAACAGGCTTTGTGTTGGATTTTAAGTCATGAGGGTTAATTATTATCAGAGGAATTGTATCTTGAGAAAAGGAGATCTTCCTCACTGAATTGATGTTTCCTAATGATGTATCATAAATATGTTTAATAGTATTTACTACAGAGTTCAGAAATTGAACTTTAAAGGGGTGGTGAAAATTAAAATCTTGTTCCTGAAATTTTACACTGCGCAAGGAACAGCAGAAAGATATAGCTTCTTTGGAAGCAAGACTCTATGTCTCTGAAATGACCAAAGATAGAAATTCATATCTTCTGAGACTTCTCTTTGTAATTGCTACTCATTAATTTAGCTTCTCTCCCTGGCAACATAATGGAGCTGCTGTTGAGAAAACAAATTTACTAAAACACTTTGAAGTCTGCCATACAAACTTTATTTTTTAATAATAATATAAAATTAATGAATAGAGAGCAGAAGCTATACTGTCATATGCCTGAATTTCAGCAGTATACTGTTTTCTTTAGGATATTTTAGCACGGAGCTTAAGGTGTTCTCAGTTAAGTTATGGAGACAGTTTCCACCTTCCACTGTGGCTGCAGCAGAGGACTTAAACTGAGCCTTAATTAGAAGCCTCTGCTGTATTGTTGATTAGCCTTTCTTCTCCCATCTCCAATGTGTCAAAATTCTGTTCCCAAACTTAAATCAAATTGGAAATGAACTATCATGTTGACAGAAATGAAGGGTGATGACAAACAATGAAGGGTAATGATAAACAATAACTTTGAAGGGACGTATTTAGTGCAGTACATAAAGATTAGTATTACTTCTGATCTCATTTAATAGCTTCAATAATGAGCTAGAAGAGGGAGTAAATGGTACATTAATGAAATCTGCAGATCTATTAAACTAGGAGGAGCTGAGCACGCTGCTGAAAATGGAGAAATAATTCAAGGGTTCACAGGAAAATTAGAAACACAGGTAGAATATTGCAATGAGATTCAGTTTAGAAAACAGATGAGTAATATTTGGGTAAAAAATCAACAGATGGTAACAGGTAAAAATCTGTAATGCTGGAAGAGATTTAAAATTAAGAACATCAGGAAAACTAGGCAAGAATCTGTAACTGAGCAGTAGATATAAACAGTGAAATTTGGGCGAAACCATTAAAGAAAAAGTAAACAAGTAATGACTCATCTTAAAGCAGGTCTACAACGATCAGTTCCCTTCTGCATATAGCATGGGCACTGGAAAAACAGACTATCAGTCAGATGGTTAGAGACTTTACAGCTATGGAAGTTTTTCCTCGTAGAAAATTTAGAAGTAAGCCATCCATATAACAGTGCTGTCCTTCATGAAGTGAATGACATAACAGTGAGCCACTGGCTAAAAGACCATAAAAAAGCCTGAGACTGAAGAAATAAAATATTCTCCCACTGCTTCTGGTAATTGCATCATGCAGCTTGAATATTTTGATATTGCTGAGGAAACTGCCAATGTAATGCCAGCTGCTACAAGCTTTCCAATGTCAGATATATGTACACAATATCTTGGAGAGCTAAAGATAGTTGTGAGCAAGTTAATTGCAGTGGAGGAGCTCACACAAATTAATCTTGCTGGGAATAATTCTACAGAAACTATAATGGAGGGTAAAACTGATGTTACATCACTCCCTCTACCAGAGCCTATTTCAGCAATTCAGCATGGCAACAGCATTAGGATGTATGGTATGTATTTAAAATGATATTCCATATTGGTCATCAGTCTTCAAAAGTCCTTGGTAGTTCTTGGATGTGAAGGCAATTGTCCTTTATTGCTGAGTGCCTCCATACAGTATTTTTAAGTGGGCTTGTCCACTCGGGAGTTTGTCACTGTCAGTATGTTGTGACCCAACAGTGAGTGTGCAGAGAGCAGGGCATTGATCCACAGATTTAAATTTGCACACTTCAGTAGACAACCTGGCAGAAGCCCTTTCATGTAAAACCGTGCTCTATTCATTTATATCTTGGCATGTCCTGCCGTTCCACACTTCTGGATCATTCATCTTCTAGAGGAATAACTTAAAAACAATGAGCCATCATGCAAAAATGTCAGGATAAAAAAAGGAGGATATGTATATATGAAAAACAATACAAAGAGTACCAGAAGCATAGGTAGATCCCTGATCCCTTTCAATGCACCCTGTTTGATGAGACAGCACCCTTTCACTGATGTTTCAGGGAGAGCTGTCTACATTTTCTAGAAACTGAGAGCTTCAGGATGTTTGTAGAGCTATCTACTGGCAAACTCGGTTGATATGATTTTGCCAGGAAAATATCTGCTGTAACTAATCAGATTCACTGCAACTGTTAGAAAGACACATGTGAATGATCCTTAACTGAACTTACTAACATTTTTAAAATACAAGACAAAGTCTTCCACATGTTTGAAAGCAGTATAATTTCTCTATTTATGTCATGAATCTGTAGGTTATTTCACTACACAGCTAAATTTTCAAAATCATGCACATAGAATCTTCACTGCACATACCAAGTTCTGCTTTAAAACCTGTATACCCATTTTTTATCACTACACACGCTTCAAAATCCCAGCACCTTATCCAAGGGTTACCTCACTGGAACATCGTTTAAGTGTCCATATGAATACAAAACCAGAGGTCAAATTTGGTTTGTTGGAAAACATAGGCCCAGTATCTGATTGCTTTGGTGCTTCTGAAACTTCTCCCTTGTTAACAGCTAAATCACATTTACCCTTAGAAACCTGTCATACTACTTGGCTTTTT